GCTTATCCATGATGTTTTTATTGGAAACAGAGTCAAAAGCCTTGCTGGAGTTGAGACAGACAACATCAGCTATTGTCCCCTCTTTGACCCATCCTGTCATGCCATCATAGAGGAGTATCAGATTGGTCACCATCCACAGAAGTCAATTTTGTCCCAGAAATCCAGATGAAAAAAGCATAAAAACATTTTCCCTATAGGTTACTTTTATGCATCAAATGAACAGCTCCACAGTTTTTACATATCTCAAAGAAGAGAAAAGTGATGGATAGAAACTTTTAATGACTGAGTACTAAATGTTTGTTATATGATCACTGTGGTGTAGCACAGTACTTAAAGACTGAGATATGATAAAGAATTGATGTGCAGTTAGTGGGACACCTATATATAGCTCTTACCTAAAAGCACATAACAGCAAGCAAGGGAAGTGTATCCCCTCAGCGGTGTGCATTAGCTCTCATTGACTTCCCACTCTGACTTCAGAAAACATAATTACTTTAACCTGATTTAGCCCCTGTTTTTTCTGGAAGAAAAAGCTCACATACTTTTCCGAAACACACAGGCAGTGTTCAGTCTTTGCAAAACTATTGATGGATTCTTTTGATGAGGAATGCAATGTTCATAATCTTGCCATGGGAAACTGCACTCTGGCCTGTCCCGTCACTATGGCATCCTTACAATTTCTAAAAGATTTCAGAATTTATGATATTTACTCGTATCAATGAAATGCCCCAGTAGCAGGACTGAAAATAATGTTTCTTGTTTTGAGTTTGGGGTGAGTGGAGATGTGCAAGTTATGTACTATTCAAAGGCTGAGTGTCAAGTGAAATTAATACAGTGCTACTTACAAAGAGGTTTATGATTTCAAATAAGATATTTAAAATTGTAAGATTATAAAAACTGAAAAAAATTTTAAAAACTTTTAATACTTGAATCATATATTTCACAGTGGTAGATAGGTATATTTTGGCAAATGCAGTTGTCCAGGGTACTCAGTTTTCCAACAATAATATCATGATGTCATGGCCTTCTGACTGGGTTATTGCACACAAACAGGTCCTTTACTGATATTTTATGCTGGAATCCTACTGTCCATTTTTGCTACTCATTGCATTATCAAAAGAACACAAAAATATTTCATATTTCGCCATTTCGTTTGTGTTTTCAGTCTTTTCTTGTGGATCTTAGATTCTTCTACCTACTGTTGAATTCTGGAGGGCTACTCTTCCCCTGTTTTGATGATTTATCCAAGTATGAATAAAGCAATGAAAATTCTTGTTAAGGGCTTTTCTCCACTTCATGAATATTGCAACATAGAATATGTCCTAAAGCCCAGAGTCCATTTCTCTAGTAAGAAAGAGTTTCTGCAGCTGCTCATATGAAGAAGTGTTACTATCAAACCAACTGATATAGTTTTATATTTTTACATTTCTAAAATACAATTTTTCAGATGACAACAGCTTGAAACTGTGCTGTGTCCGTTTTCTGTGGGTTGTCTCTCCGGGCTCTGAGGATGGTAGCATAGTTCCTGGTAGTGGAGTATTTGGATGATACTTTGTAGGCACGGACAAAGTGTGAGGCCATTTTCTTTTTATTTTCTTTTTTTTTTTTTTTTTTTTTTTTTTTTCCTTTTTTTTTTTTTTTTTTTTTTTTTTTTTTAAGGGTTTTTTTTTTTTGTTTTTTTTTTTTTTTTTTTTATTTTTTTTTCTTCTAAGGGATGTTTCACTTGCTGTTTACTTAGAGAGATACCTTGCCTTAGCTGACACTCCCAGTGCAGAGGTTGTCTCTGCTGGGAAGGACCTTGCGAGGTACAACGCAGCATCACTTGCCATGAGTGTCTGCAGAGAGATGTAAAGTATGTGCAGAGTATCCTGAAGAATAGGCTCAAAGAGTTACTGCATGGAAGGAATAAATGATCCTTAGGGCGTCTTAGTGCTCCACCTGGCACATCTCAGATATCTTAGGCACTTTACTCTTTTGTCGGGGATTTTTTTTTTTTGGAGTTTTTTATGATTTTGCTTTCTGCACTTCTTGTCTAAGTCACTTGCTCTGAATGACTTTGAATCCCAGATTCTTTTTTCTGTGTGATACAATGCAATTTTACAAATTATTGTATTATATATTGTATAACAGTATTGATCATAGACCAAGTTGGATGGGGCTCTGAACAACCTGGTCCAGTGTAAGGTGTCCCTGCCCATGGCAGGATGGGGTTGGAAATAGAGGCTTTGTAAGGTCCATTCCAACTCAAGCCTTTCTGTGGTTTCATGATTGCATCAAACATCAAAAGGACCATATCAAAAGGAACAATTTTATTTTTCGCTAACAGAAAAATAGGAATCATAATATTTTGCTGTTAATGACAGCAATATATCTTTTTAAAACCATTATGAGTTAGCCTCATAATTAATACAAAGTAAGTAATATGAATAGTTGATAAAGTAATATTTTATAGGGCAAAATGAAAATTAGGATGCCGTAATATATATAAAGCATAGCAATTATTAATAGAAATTGAGTTTTTTGTGCATTTGTGTAATTTATAAAGTCAGGCAGTGTGTGTGATACAGCTTTGCTTTTACAATTTAATACAGTGTAACTGTTTATCGCATGAGACACTAAATAAAATGAAAATGTATACACTATCTGTATGTTGGGACCATTCCTTTTTGAACTCAAGCAGTGTAATTATTGATTAAAGTATATTGCATCTCCTAGTTCAAGAAAAAATATACATTACTTAATTACATTGTAAGTGGCTTTCCCTGTTTTGTTTTGATTATATAAGATGCAGGCAGACATTTACTGAAGTGTCCATTTTTTTTTCTATTCCCATGTATCGGCAATGTTTTCAAACAGAGTCCAGTAAAACAGAAATAAATGTATGCTGTCCAGGAATTTCATTGTGAAATAAAAATAGAGAAAGAAAAAACCCACATTGCTTTACATGAAGTTCTGCAAATTCAATTAAAATTTATATTTTTTCTTTTCTAAAAACAATGGGTATTTGATATATATTTAAAACTTGTCTGCTGTATGACAATGTTGAGTGCTTTTCTCCTGTGAGCTGTTTCCTACAGTGATTGTCCTTGACCAAATCAGAAAATGAATTTGATTTCTCTAATGCAAAAGGTAATTGGATTTCTTGTTATGGAATGCATCCCTTTAATGACTGTCTCTGCTTTAGCCAATTTAGCTGCAACTGACCTGACATTGATCTGGTGATATGACTTTAAATAAATACCAAAGTTGAGGGATGAAAGACCAGCTATTTGATATCAGAAAGAATATTTCCTGCCTCATCTTGCCATTTTCCTCAGAAAATATCTCCATCTCGAATGTCATTCTTATGAAACATGCTCCTTTGGTAATTGGTCACAGAGCTGAAAATTGCATCCTTCTTCCAAATATAATAATTTTCCAGAAAGCATCTGGAGAAACTATTTTGAAACTTGAATAAAGCCTCTTGAAATAGCTGTTCTTCCTTGCAAATATTCATTACTATGTAGATTCTTCCTAAGAGGAAAAAAAACTGTTACTAAAGTAGTGAATTAAACCTTTACAAAAGTCTTGTTCAGCATTAAATATTTATTGAAATATTTATTTAGATAATGGGGATCTTATAAAAAAGTATTATCATTTGCTGATCAGAGAAAAGATTTACCCACATTAAACAGTTACTAAAAGTGGTATTTTAGGATATTATCTGTTCTTTGTTAAGGTTAAGTTTAATGGAATAATAAAATTCTAGAATGTCCATTTCTACTTATTTAACATAGTCATTATCCTTTGGATCCAGCCCAGGCTAATACACTGAGCACTTTTAACCCCAAATGGACTTGAAGCCAAAATTTAGAAGTTGAATCCATTTTTAATTTACTCATTGGCCGCATGTTCTCTTTGATAAACACTCTTAATGCCATTGATTGAAAGTGGTAGCTTACACTCTGGATGATAAACTGAATTTTAAAGCATCTGTGAAGTTTTGTCTTCAGTTTGAAATTATTTCCTTCTGGAACCTTAAGATTTATTATAATTTTGATTAAAACACATAATAATTTCCCACTCAGTACTGATAACAGTGAGATAAAATTTTGCATTTTGAAGCAGGTGGTCACCCCCATTTCCTTTATCTGATCAATTATTTCTTAAATCTTTACAAATGGATAGCTTTTCCACTCTGGATCTTTTGCACAACAGAATTTATGAGTTTATTGTTATGTAACTTCTGGTGCTTTTTAGTACAGTTAATTTGAAGTAAATGGATATGAAAACACAGCTTTCCAAAGAAGCAGGTGCCTGAGGGGTACTCATCTCCCTCACTGAGCTGAAAGTCATTTTTAATACTTTCATGTACCACCCAGAAGTACTGCATACATATGAGTCTCTGGACAGAGAAACAGATGGTCTCTTTAGACAGGAATTATGAAAATGAGAATAAATATTTCATACTTTTAAAAATTTTGCAAATTTTAAGGGTTTTTTTTTCTGTTGCCAGTCCCAAGTGTACTTTTTATACTGATAGAAGGAACTAAGAGGACATTATAAATATAGTTATATAGTGCTTAATTCACATGCTTCCACTCCCTAGCTGCAGTTCTGATGTCCAGAGTGGAAATTCTGCTGATGAAGCTCTCAGGGAAGTGCTTCTCCTCTCCCAGATTGGACCAGAAAGCTTCACAGCCACAGGGGAATGTAACTCGAGTCCTGTGGGTTGCTGTAACTTTTAGATTGGTTCCTCTTATCTTCCTATCTTTGGATTTCTACAGGTTTCATCACTTCTCAAGGAGTTGCATGCACTTCTAGAGGGAGAATATGTAGCCCAATATTCGTTATCTTGATTGCAAATAACACTGTACACACTATTAGTCCGCTGTCTGTTACCATTATCAGAACTGATGCAGCTGTGCCACACATAAATAAAAATGTTCCTGAAGTCCTTGCTTGCACAGCCTTGTGTAGCACCAGTACAACTGTAACTACTATTTCTTCTTTCCCTATAGGTCACAGATATGATGCTTCAGGATAAACCCTACCCAGACTGGGGAAAGTCTGCCAGAGCTTTCTGGAAGAAAGGAAACATTAGGATCATTTTATTCTGGTAGGAAAATAGTAAAATCAAATTACTTTACACAAACCTTTTATAGAATGTTGGAAAACATATCTTTTATGACCGTCTGTGGCAGAAAGAGATATGGTTGAAAAAAAAAGGTAAATCTAGTCTAACTAAAAATTGCAAAAATGGTACATGAATGAGGAATTCTTAGTCAAAATAGTTGGTGTATAAATATAATTTTTAATTGGTTTATAAAGTTTCTTTTATTCATTTTGACGCTTTATAATTGAGTTGCCGAAATTTTGGTATGTGTGATAATATTTGGGTGTCCCCCTGTAATTCCTTGTAATAAACTAGATATTTGAATTTCCTTTTGTGGCCATGAAATTAATTATAGAAATTCTTTGAATTGACACATGAATAGGATTTAAAATGTCATGTCAATCTCAGATGATTAAGAGCAATATTAAAAAGCAATGCAGAAAGTTGTGAGGGTTAAGAGTTTATTTCACCTCAAATGTAGCCTCTTCCAGATAAATTCCAGACAAATATAGCTATTGAAACAGAACACAGATTATGACAGGAAAAATGGAAAATGGAGAACAAATATTCTAAGAAGCAGTCTGAAAACCTTATAGCTGAAGATATAAGAAATAGCAAAGACTTTTGCAATTATACCAGAACCGGAAAAACTTGTGAAAATGTCATCAGACCTGCTGTTTTTAAAAGAACAGATTTCAAAAGAACTCTTACAGAGAAGTTGAAAGATATTTATTTGTATGTAGTCTCCTACAGAAAATGCAATTAAGTATCTTGCACTTTAAAGGAGTAAAATCAAGATATTATATTAAGTTGAGGCTATAAAGGAAATAGTAAGAGAAATTTGAAAGGAAAGCAGAATCAGATGGCTGAGTGGTTACACACAAAGCTTATAAGGAACTGAAGGCGTTGAGCTGATGCAAGTTTTATTAGCACTTAATTGCCTATTGAAAAAATTGAATATTAAAATTTGGGTATTGTTTTGCTTTTTCTGCCTTTTTTTCCCCAGCAAACTAGTAATATCCTACTGGCCTCTAAGTCTGAGTTCAGTTTTAGCAAAATGGATTTAATATATTATATGATTATATATTATACATCATTATATATCAATATTGGATTTAAGAGCAAAGCTCTAGATTAATTTCTGCTAAAGGAAGCTGGAGGTTTGCTGAAAGAAAACTTTCTCTGATCTGTTCGAACTCTATGCACATGTCATCAAAATAATGGATGAGGGAGAAATGCTTGATATAATTTATTTGGACTTTCCCAAGGGTTTTGACAAAGTTCTTTACTGAATGCAATTAAGAAAACTAGTAAGACTAAGTGTGCTAACATTTAGAAATCATCTCAGCAATCTGCAGTGAAAGTTGTGAATAAAATAATAATTTTCTGCTACATTGATAAGGCTGAGGAGTTATGTTATTTAATGTTTGAAGTAGTATTCATTATTTATATACATCATAAATATTAGTGATGTGACAGAATTTAAAGATTAAGTTAATAATTTGAAAAATGCATGAAAGAGGGATTTTGGAAAACCAGGTGAAAAAAATGATGTGACTGAATACTTGAGTTATGGGAGGAGGTGGGGGATTCTCATCATCATTGCAGGATGTGCAGAGGGAGATTCTGTCTCAGTGTGTAGGGATGGGCAAAAAGGTAAAGCAGATGTATCAAAAAAATTCACAGATAGGTGCCAAGTGGCACCTATGATTACAATGTCATCTGAGCAAAAAGCTCAGTCTAAAGCATCATTGATTTTTTTTCCCCCATGTCTGAAGGATAGCTTTGTCTGAAAGACTGAAAAGGAGATTAGTTAAGATTTAAGAAAGAACTTAATTACACAGAAAGACTGGAAAAATGGGAAAAAAGGATTAAAAGCAAGGTGACATGATAGTTTTTAAATTTATATGCCAGACTGGGAGACCAATGAAGCAGTATTAAAATTATTTAAACATTATTGCAAGCAATTTTTTTCCACTCTAAAATGTTAAAAATCTATATTTCTAATAATATTCACCCTGACAAATCCTGCCAAAAGTTCAATACAGAGATGAGTGAAAAAAAGGGTTTTCCTGCAAGAGTTTCATATTAAAGGGTATGCTCAAAACCTGAAGGGTGACATAAATGCTTTTATTTTTAGGCAATGAAATAAAATAGCCTGGATGACAGTCTATGTTCTGCAGACATTATTTATATAGTGCAAGTTAGACATCAGCAAAAGTAGATTTTTTTTTCCCCACTAGGTAGGAAAAATAAAGGAATTATAATGTTAAGCCTGGTAACATGGGGTATTTGTATTTACTCTGTTGCTACTTAAGCAATGTGATGTGTATAGCCTCATTTCTGAAATGTCCTAAATGAAGCATCCTCAACAGTGTGTCCTACTCAGATACTGGTAGGTCAAAATCCATTTATTCAGGACATTTTCTAGTAGAACACTTGTTTAGTAGTGCTATTGCAACACTGTGCAGTGTATTTTTGTTATTCCTAGTATATATATATGATACACAGTCTAAAGTGGTTGATGAAATGAAAACCTTAGCTACAAACTAAACTTGTTTTTTTGCTAATGTCTTTTTTATTTTTGTGTTTGCTTTGCAAAATTAGAAAACTTCTGTAAATGTATCAAAGATGGATGGATTGTAAAGGTGGTAAAGGCACCATCCATTTATTTATGATAGTTAATTTGTGTCTGTTTTGTTTCTCATTTGGAAATGTTTTCAGCTCTCCAATGCAACTAATTCACAAAGGTTTTGATTTATTTTATCATCTCCTGTTTTAAATCATTCTCTGTAAACATTGTCAGCAACAGCTTGTTGGTTGCTCCTGAGGATTCTGTCTGACTTCTGAATTTCTTCACACTATAATTCTTCCACAAACAGCTCATCTAGCTAGAGAACGATCAGTTGCTATTTGCCTTTGTGTAGTCCATCACGAAGGAGTATTTGAAGTGCCTTCAACTCTTTTTGAAGTCAGAGGTTGTCTTTTTTTTTTGTTTTGTTTTGTTTTTCATAAAAAGGTCTCCATTTTGGTGATTTCCAGCTCTGCTCATGGCTAATTGCAGCATTCTGAGGCACCTCCGTGTAATGCTGTTATATTGCTAAGTGATGCAATGCAAATACAAATGCACTTTCTCATAGATTTAAGAAAGTGTGTTGTCAAGAGGACTTCTAGGTAGCAATGGAATTACTACGATGTGCAGACGTGTTTGTGGGTCACAAAAGAAAGATACACATAAGGAGGTAAATATCTGCATTGTCTGCAGTCAGATGAGTCTCTCTACAGACACTGTCTCTAGTGCTCTGTCTTCACCATCAGTATTGCAAAATTATAAGCATTACTTGAAATAGGCTGATTTTTTTGATATGTTGATAACTTGACTGATTCAGGAGAGACAAATTATATATGACATGAGAGGACTGGCATTTGAAAGAAGCAAAAAAAAGTTTGTTGAATAAAGTAAAAAAAAGATCTTGGACAAGGCTGATGACAAGTCAACAGCTGTAGCTAGTGGTAAGATAAATAAATAAGACAATATAGACCCACACTTGATGTTTTATATTAGGTGAAGCAGGGGCAGAAGTAGAATTTGAGAGGACTGATTGTTTTACAAATTTTTTTTTATTTTCCTCCAAACATTTAATAAGTCCAAGCTCCACTAAAGGTGTCCCGTACACATCTGCGCAGGAGCGAGCTCCCCGCGGCAGTACAGGCAGGTGGTGCTGCCCACACCAGTGCCCCAGTATGTGCTCAGGCTGTACAGACATTGCCATGCTGACATACAGCTCTCTGCCACCAAGGCCTGGGTTACCTCTGCCTGCTTTGTGCCTCAAGTCACTGTCTCCTCCTTACAGTATCTTCTGCTGTGACCTGCCACACCCTGTGCAGAACTGAGCGTAGTAGTTGGAATAAAATCGTAAGGACGTCTCTGGGCGGTGTGCACAGTTTGCTCAATAGAGGCAAAACCTGAATGCTCTCTTTTGACAAACTGCTCCAATATCAATTGCCCTCAAAATTTTCCTAACAGAGTATGGAGGGTTTATAATGAGCAAGGCATAAAGACTGTGAACTTTTAGCCATAGGGAAAAAGCAGAGCACAGTCAAAAGAAAACCAGTTTATGGGAATAGAGGAAAAGAGCTCCTGAGGTCTGTGTAAGCAGGTAACAGAAAATTGACATTCAAAGGTAGATTATCAAAATGGGGGATTGTAGAGATAACAGTGGATTATGCAGCTGAATCTTCATTGCAGAGAGGGTGGCAGAAAAATATACACAAGCTGAACCTTTGAATATGTAAGTTCCAGGCTGGAATCCATTTCTGTGGTGTCCCTGGCTAGACATTCCCTGTATGTGTACACAATGATCAGTCTTTATTGATGCAATAAAGACAATTGGCCTATGACACAGGATTCTTGTCTGAAATAATGCAAAATAGATACCAACAGGGAAAAGAAATAAAGTAATACAGATAATTGTAAATTTTTGATTCTCTATGTTTGCTGTTTGACTTTGCAAACAAAATATTCTTATATTAATATGTATTTCCATAAACTCCTGCTAGCTTTCTTTAATAAAAAATACAGCTACACATGCTCAGAAATGTGTGTTAAGAATCATAGTATTTTAATTTAACAAATCAAGCTAGTAATATAGGTTTAGAAGCTTTTGTTCAAAATAATTGTGCAGAATTGCTACAGAGTTCTGATTTATGTACATATGTTTATACTGGATTCTGTCAAACACAGCTCAGGTTAGTATTCTTAACTGGACAATATTTTGTATCCTGGAACTAGAGAAAGATTCCTTATGAGACAGATAGCCACATCTCCTACAAAGAAATAAAAGCAGTTTCTATAAGAGACTTTCTATTATGCATCTATTTGAACATTTAGTTTGATAAATTATGTTTCCATATTCTATGTTTTCACAATCCAGATGATAAGTTTATACTGGAAAAATATGTTCTTTTCACATATATGAATGTTCAAAAGACGGCTTCTAAAA